TCTGCTGAACGCGGCCATTATAGGAGTGTGCGCTATATATATGGGATTGGCGCGAACGTGAAACAAAAGATTATACTGTGGGGACAGAGACGGTACACATGTATTCGACAAAACAAACAACAGTCTGCGGCAAGCTGGACGTTTCACGATCCGCTCGAGTCAAATTATGGGGTTACAGTGCGTAACGCGATCATGAGCTGACTTTCGTTATCCTTAAAACTTGTCCGTGCAGGTGTATTCGTCTCCCGCGTGTCTTCGCGATACAGCAAGTCCTTCCGCGAGTACCCACGATCGAAACCTGCGTGACTTGTAACCTATGTAACGGTGAAAACTCGTAAGTACAAGCGTTCACCTTGCTGTACTCGTTTTCTTCCCCACTTCGGGAATAGCCGTTGCGCTGCTTATGGTCCAATCTGATTCCTTGCACGCGTTTGTGCGCCATGCAAGTTTGTCTGTATAGACCCTTGATGATATTTGGTAGCTTCATTCTTGGTTTATCGGTATTACAACCCTTTGATAGTATCTGTTTCCTCAAGATTTATAAAAATTGTATCTGTGCATTATACTATTCATTAATGTATAAATTATCTGTCAAAACTTTTCTTCTCTGTGTCCTTAGAATGTAAAGGGAGAAAACGAGAGAGAGAGGGTAGGGGGAGAAGAGGGGATAAAAATTGCATTAAAGCTGCAATATCAAAGTCATTTCAATCTAGATACGGAAAAGGTAAGCAGGCCATTTTTACTGATATAGACTAAATTTAATCTCCCTGTTTAAAATATTAAATAGAATATGATCAGGTTACATTAGATTACATGTAATTTTGATGTAAAGAAGAATCTTATTAATTTACATTAAAATTGCATGTGACTAATTTCTTCATATTCTATCTATTATTTTAAACTGGGCTATTTTTATTTCACTCTATCTTTCCTTGGCACCAAACATTATAAAAAGATGAAAGCAAATTGAACCGAGATTAAAATTAATCCTACGTTGGTGGAAATGGACATAAGAAGAGTAAATCTGAAATCTCCTTGTTCTACATCTATTTTTTTTTCTTCCAGATATAGAAGGATGTCGAAACTCGGGATAGCTACGGGCAAAACACACATTCGACCGCACTTCACAGTCCACACGCAGTCCTCCTTGATGAAGACACGGATGCCGATAAAAGTGAGGAAATCGTTATCAACGAAAGATGCGAATGAATCGAAGAAACCGCGGGCAAGCGTCGCTCTCAAATTGGGCGGAATTCATAAGAGACGAAGCAACGTCGTGATGCAGAACAGAAGTATGCAGATGATGCTAATGATCCTCAAGCAACATCAGCCAGACCGTCGTACAACCATTTTCCTTTCTGGTAGCGAGCTAACGGAAACGACTTTTCGAGCAAACAATTCGTTCGCGTCTCTCCAAAGCGATTTAATCAAAGACGTCTCTCACGATCTCCAAAAACGCGCCGGCAGTTCAACCGAATTGGCGACTCTACGTGACAAACCGACGAGGGTCGTCGACGAGTCTGAGAAAGTCATGGAAAATTTGCACGCCTCCCTTAAGGATGGAGCAAACGCGGGATGTACACACAATTTGGAAAATATTCCCGAGATCGAGACGCAAGGTGTAAACGCTGCGACGAATCGCGAGTATACTCAGAAAATTTGGACGAGCAAGAAAGCCTGGAACGAACGCGTCGATGTCGACGGCGCGCGTCCTGCCGATTTACAAACTTCCGAGGGCACGAAACACATTGACAATCCGCAAGACAAGTGTCCGACGACCGACAAGCTAGTTGTAGGCGATAATAATGCAACCAGCTGGAGAAAGGTCCGGAAGGCCCCTCAAAAGAACCCCGCTTCCGGTCAGCGAGCGTGGAAACCACCCGGCGTTTCGAAAACTTGGAGCACGGAAAGCGCAACATTTTTGCAACCGATGTCGCAGAGGTCGTCTAAATTAGCTAAAAGATCCGCCGCTTTGTCCAGGAGCGAGCACTCGTCGACTGAATATGTCGAGTAATGGAATATCTTTTTTTACTATCTTCTTTACTATCTTTACGGAGCTCCTGTACATATACAAATTATGAACTTTCCTAGGAATGCTCCGTGTAACTTCAGAACACTGTTCCTAGACCAAAGCCGCTGCATCCACCGTGGTTGGTGGTGAGGATGTGGTGGTAGGCGTACTCAAGTTAGCTGAGCATCTCGACGAGTTAAGCGGGGAACATACACTTTTGCATAAGTGCATAAGCATATGCATAACGAATTTGATCGGTCCATTTCCTTGTGCATTTGCTTATAGACCAATGGTCTATGCAAAAGTGTGTGCTCCCCGCTTTAACCCTGAGAGCACCCTCCACTATATCCCCACCACCGGCCACCGTGGATGTAGCGGCTTTCGTCTGGCAGCACTGCTTCAGAATTCAATAGTTTTCATTTTTGTCTCTGAATATTTGCCTTTATTTTTTTGCATTGTATAATTATTATTAAATGTCTTTAAAATGTCTCGTTTAAAATAATACAATTGTAATATAATAATATAAGTGTACAAACAGCATGTTAAACAATTTCGACTCTGAACAATTTCATGCTTTATGTATTTTGTACTTATAATTTTAGAGCCTCTATTAGCGAGTCCACGAGCACATCGATATCGACAGATCAGTTCAAGACGTTAATGAAAGAAAACGCAAACCGTATGACAAAAATCTGCGAACATCTCGCGTAAGAGACGTTTATATTCGACATACATAATTCCGAGCATTAAGATGGTAATATTGATGCATGCCGATTTTATTATAGGGAAGCGAAACAGCGGCAGAGACTACAAAGCGGAGGAACATTGCCGAAGAGGAGACGGTCGAAAACGAAGGTCGGCACACAAGTTTCAAATAAATGCAACAACGCGAATCCAATTCAGAAGACGAAAGCACGACATTGCCAAACGCGACCGATTGTGCCGAAGAAATCCTCGACCGACACGAATGTCGAACAGACAGATTCCCTGACTTGTAGCCAAAGATTGAAAACTTACAAAGTACTTGACGCATTGAAAAAGATCGATAGCACAGAAGACTCAGACACCGAGGAAAACGCCATGAGTAATGATTTCGACCACGAGAAAGGCGGCAGCAAGATTCAAACGTCGTCAAGTCACGACACTTTCATTTTTACGGAAAATGTAAGCTTGGATGGGGCAAACCGAACTTCTCGGAGATCGGTCAGCACGCAGACGGAATTGGATCTGCCTTGTCAAAAGATTGACGCTGAAAAGGACCAAGGTCTCAAGGAAGTTTTGAAACCGACTCGAATTGTCGCGACGCAAACATCGCCAAGTTGTAACAGAAATGTAGTTGAAATTGGATGCAATACTTCAAGTGTCGTTTACAAGGATGCAGAAGTTCTCTACGATCTGATAGACCTCAACAACTCGAAAACGAAAGTTGAGCCAATCGGAATTGGAGATACGTCGATTTTAGATGACCCAATTCATATGGAGTCTTCGTCATTTAAACATATTGAAAGTGTTGAAAACAAAGACGCTAACAGGAAACTTCCGCTCAGCGGATGCAAAAAGATATTAAATACAGAGCTAGAGAAATTAGAAAATTATAATAGCATGACAAACGATGCTGCTAGAGAAGCAGAAAAGATCATGCGCGAGGAAGCTTGTCAAATTTCTTTAGAACCACCAAAAAGTTCTGACGATGAAACAAACATTGATATCGACAAACACCAGAAACCCATAAAGTACTTCAATCACGGCGCAAATAGTACTTCGGTAAATAATCTATTTTCGGCGAGATCTCGCCCATCGATCTACAGCTACGACGCGTCTTGTTCTTCCGAGGAAATCACAGAATATCTCGAAAACGACAGCCAGTACGGTGATACGATTACGTCGGAATTGAAAGTGAACAATGTACCAAGCGACGTGATCGCGGCTTTTGAACTCGCAGCAGAGCGTGCACGCAATATTCACGAAGCAGTCATTATATGTTACCAAAACTTACCACGAAAAATGGCTAGAGAATCTAGAAAACAAAATGAGGACATAATTAAACATTCTGAAACGTCAGAGTTCCACGACGATCGACGTTGTCTCGGGACACGTACCGTAAGTGGCGAAACTGAAGGTAAGATAAAATACGAATGCGAAGCGAAATATCACTTTGCGAACGACGGCGGGGATTTCGGCGGATTCTTAACGTGCTCGTCGCGCGGCAGTAGTTCCGATCGAATATGCGAGCTCGAAAAATTTTCGAGAGCCAAAGATTATTTAGGGATAGACCGAGAAGAAGAAAACGAGCAAGCGATTGCGAGATCGGTTCTAAACGAATGCTCTAGTTTTAAAGACGTAAGGTCGTTGATGCAATTAGTGACGCATCGCGCGGAAGAGGAGTATGCGCTCGAATTGTTGCAATTAGAGGGAAATGGAAATGAAAGTGAGGAGAGTTTTGAAATGGCAGGAGCGACTAATGGAACGTTGGCACTTCCCGCGGCGATTAATAAAACTTACCTTATAGCGCCCAAGAGTCTGCTTCTTCTTATTTATTGCGTCGTCTGTACTGTAGTGTTTTGGTTTCTGCAATTTTCGTTCCGATGCGACTCCGCAAAGTAATCTGTCTGTAATCTACATTATCCGTCTTTTTACTCTGCACTCTCTGTAATCTACATTATTTGTCTTTTACCCTGCACAGTGTGATATTAATTTCGTTAATTTTCGTTTAAGCTACGTTCTCTTTGATTTTAATAAATATATTCCCTGTATATGTTACATTTTATTATATTTGTTATGCATATATCCAGTTATTGAACGTTTTTGTTATATATAAAAGTATAAACTTACAAAAACTTAAGAAAGTATTTTGTGAGAAATTCTCCCGCAAAGTAACGGAGAGATTTTGTAAAACGTCTGTGTGACAATAAAAGGGTTAATACTGGAAGAAGAAAACGAGGATTATTTATTTCGGCACGCTTTTGATAATCCCCTGCGCATTATAAATGCAAATTTCTCATTAATTTTATCATGTACTATTTTTCACAAAATTAAATCTCTTATTATTATTTAGACATTTAATGCTAGAAAAATAATATTCGAAATTGATCAATGCAAATCATTTACAAGAGACAAATTTGCAGAAATTATCACTTAGACGTTATTCACGCATAATATTTAGATAAGACTAAAATAATTCGTTATCACGCTGACCGGATGATTCAGCCAGATGCACCTGACACTCTTAGTATAGCGATTGGTTTAATTTCAGGTCGAAATGAACTCAAATCATCACGCAGCTATTTATTCGTCCTCGAGGACTTCGACGGTTGCGCAACCGGTGATGTCGACTAATTCTTTCGAAGTGAAAGTGGCGATTATCTTCTGCTCCCCAGGCTTTTGCGGCACGAGCTGATGCTCCACGTAAACGTCCTCCTCCGGCCCGACGTCCCTGAAGGTCAAGGTCTTGTTCCTGGAGAGACCAGGCCCGGCATAGTTGAATTGGCAATTGGTCAAGGTCCTCTTCAAAGGATTCTTGAAGCCCAACGTGATGGTCGATGGTTTCCCAACTACTGGTTCACCTTCAATCTACAACAGTACAACACATTAGAAATAGTTCGTAAGTGTCAAATCTCTGAGGATCTGATGATTTTTAGAATTAGATCTCGTGAGACATAATTCGATATTACATGATTGAGATATATATAATGAGATTTTTCCATTTTTTTCCCGGGGAATTTCAAGTTTAATCACCGACACTCAATCTATAAATTGTTATAACCTACGTGGTCCTCTTTAGCAACGTTTAAATTACATATAACATATAAATTCAATCTACTGAGACTCAACGTGGATATTAAAACAGTAGTACTTGTTCGAACAATAGTACGCATAGACTTAAATTAAAAGTTAAAAGTGGACTTTTAACTTTTGCAGATCTACGTATATGATGAATCAAAGTTTTTAAAAAATCATTATCCTTAAAGAGAAAGACGTGAATATGGATGTTTATGTTTACATTTAAGAAGCCCAACAAAGATCAACTTGTAAATGTTATGCATACTCATAAATGTAAGATCAAATCGGATGTTTCAATGCTTGCTTTGTTCATGATTGATGTGAATCTTAGGATATGGTCAAGCACTATTAATAAAAGAACGAGAGTGAGACAGTGATTCATATTCACTTCTAACTGATTGTGAGCTACCACTACAAACTGATCTTTGGTGGGCTTCTTCAACCAAATCACGGACATCCATATTCGCCTTCCAACGTTGAACAATGAATTTTATATATTTTTTCAAACTTTGACTTAAGATAATTCGAACAATTTTAATATATATGTTAATGTTGAGTTCCAATGTTCGTTAATTATTAGATTTTATGTTATGTAATTTAAAATAATGTGTTGTGCTAAAGAAGGACCAAGTAAGTTGATATGTACAACATAAAAACTACTAGCCTTACAAATCTCAAGTAAACCGCATATTTAGAAAGATTAAGATACATTTAAATGTCTAATAGATTTGAATATGAACATTAAAAAATCTATTGAAGAAATACATTTAAACTCAGTTAATTAATAATGCAATTGACAAATATTTTTTGTAATTATGAAATCGAATCAGTGCGAAGAGATGTTTGGCTACAATTTGAAGAAAATTCTAGTTCGATTTGTTTTTCTTGTATTATACCTTGACATCGATATTTGGCTTTAGAACCTGAAAGTCATCCTCGTCTGCCCAAGTTTGCCGGGTTTCCTTAACTGAGGCAATGCAATATAGCTTCATAATGCAATACTCCACCAGCTTGTCCAGGTAATCGTTGACCGTCACGCTGAGCCTTAATTGTTCCACTATAATGTATTGAAATGAGAATCCAAACGTAAATCACATATTCCAAATGGCGTAATTTTTTTATGCCAATTAACGCAAAAAGGTAGATAGTAACGCAATAAAAAGTTACATGATTTTTTTTCTTTATGTCGATTATCCAATAAATTATCATTATCTAGGAATTCCACAGACAAAATTAACCGAGCTTCTGTCGTTGATGATAGAACATTAGCATTAGCTGTGGAAATACGAGTTAATCATTGCAAATTTACTGTTTCATGCCAAATTTACCGACTTTGTCTACCGACTTTTAACATTAAATCGTTTATAAAAGCTGAGTTCCCTAGTAGATTAAAATTCCATTAAAGCATTTTAATTAAAAAACCATCAATTCATCCGCTTGCGGTCTCGCTTAAATGCGTAATTCTTCAGCTTCGATTACTGAATTACGATTTAAGAATCATCGACGTCTTAACAAACTACCGTTTCTTTTTGTTCATCCATTTCTAACGTTAATGCAGCGTTCATTTCCAGTGATGCTAATTGACTTTTGCCGCAGGCGTTTGGGGAAAAAAAACACAATTCTTCCTACCGCCGTTCGGCTGAAGCACAAAATCGCCGGACGCTCTCTTCACCAGGTTCGCCTTAAGTCCGTTATAATAAACGCTACCAGCTGACAGAATAGCCTGAATGGTGCGCGTCTCGTCGGACTTGTTCTTTATGTTCACGGTCACGGCGAACGGCTCGCCGATGTTGACGCGTTCGAGCTCGATAAGATCGAACTCGACGTCCTCTTTACCCGGCGACGGCATCGAGTAAAATCTCTTCGCCATCTCGGTGCTGCGTACCGCCCTGTATAGGGTCAATCTCTCGACCTCGGTGCCTGAAAGCCGGTCAAAGTTAAATTGAGCCTGCAACTGGGCATGCAAAAAGGGCCCCTTAAATATGCCTCGATAATTAACACAACATGGATTATTAATTAGCATTGCATACAATGAAAATCCAAACTTTAAAAACTTCCACATTTTTACCCCCCATTGATCGTGCTGGTTGAAAATTTATAATAGAATACGGACCCTTCGAAAAATATACCTTAAAAAAATACTTGTACCTTAGAAAACCGTAGAAGATTTTACTTTAGAAAAATAAGAAGTATGAAAAGTAAATTTGGACACTTTAAACTTTTATTTAAGATAAACTCAAAACTTACTTTAAGATTTTAAAAGAAAGCTTTAAGAGAATTGTGAAAAGTAGGTGATATAATTTATAATATCGCGCGCGGTTTTCTTCTTGCGAGAAAGTGCTATGTCGCGCGGCCCTGTAGCGCAAACTTCCACAGGCTTGGCTATCTAAAAATTACTTTAAGTGTCCAAAATTACTCTAAAATTTTTTAACTAAACTTGCTCTTGACTTCTTCAAGTAAACTCTTAGATTTGAAAGATTACTTTAAAGTACTTTAATTTAAAGTAAATTTTTCCAAGGGGATCGTCGGAATGGAAGCAATTAATTTGCATCGTTTACCTTCCTTGGCTTTATAAAGCGATGTTATGTCTTGCCTATCCTTGTCTCCGTTAGGATCGAAGATCCACGGCGCCTTCGTTAGAATCATTCGGCCGATGCTACGAAGATAATTCGCATTTAATTTCGTGCGAGACGTACCGTGGCGATGGGGTCTTTTCATCATTCAGGAGCAATTATTGCTTTACAAGAGGAAGACGAGAGGCAGAGTGACTAATGTAACATGGATCATTAATTAATACCACAAATAACAGAGAAAGAATACAAGTGGAAACTCCAATGACGAGATAGACGTGAGAAACAATAATGCGCGGAACGATAGATAATCCATTACGAAGACGTTCATCGTTGCAACTTAAACGAGTCGACCGTCAACTTGTCATATTTATGTTTGCACTTTGCATTATCCGCATTTGCTTGGCGTAGAAATGCCGCGGCAGCGCGGAAATTATGGAAATCGTGAGTACACAGTATTCATGCTTTACGAAGCGTCGAAGGACAATGTAATGTAACTGAGAATTGCAGGATCGGCAAATAGCGCGAGCAATTGCGCTTTTCCGTTTCCGAACGTCGGTGCACCCGTCGTTCACTCGTCCGACGCGTTTTTATGTATCTCACGCTTCGTAGCTGTCATAGCTATTTCCGTCCGCGACGAATTTGCCTGTACCGTGAATGATCAGCGAATTACCGATGAATGAAATCATCACAAAAGAATATCGAATGAAGCATGGAAAGGCGTTCTTTCGAGGGGCATTAATTATTCTACGACTTCTTCCGCGAGCGTTGATTAAATAATTGCTCATCCGTAATATTCGACCGGTGAGAAATTTAGTTTAACAAAATTCGTAAATTGAAATTTGCAATTTAAATCCTCGGGTAAAATGTAAACCTATCGAAAATGTTGACAAATGATGTGACGTTCCGCATAACATATTACAGTATATATTTTAGATTTTTCTTTCCCTTCTTTTTGTATCATTGAGGTATTAAGTTTCTCAAAGATCTTTCCCTCGAGGAACGTTATTTTGAACGCAAACTACTTTGTTCTCCTAAGAAAGAAAGCCTTAACTCCAAAAATAAACATTTTTCGGCTATTTGTTCGTCGTGAAAGGGAAGATCCCTTATTGTATCACCTGTTTTAACTTTATGTGCTAATGCGGTTGGATAAATGTTAAATTTGATCGTTCTGAATTTGCATTTCTAGAGTTCGGGCCCTCTTCCAGCTTTTATGGAATAGCTGCAAGTTGATTGACCACACATTTCTCAAAGCTAGAACTTGGACTAAGTCACCGTGGACGCAGGCCTTTAGGACGGTATCTATGTACTCACTGATACTTGTTACAGTCGATCTTGGAATATCCTAGATCGCTCTCCGGATCCTCCTTCCATCTCATTAAGTCCGCGTTCACGGACGCAACCAAGAAGGTCACGTCGTAATTGTAACCGACGGCACCCTCCTTAATGGCCTCCACCGAGGCTGGTCCGCACTGATAAACGTTTTCCGACGTTTCCTGGGGAGTGGCGTCGATGGCCTGCCAGCCCCCGTAACCCTTGGGGAGGTCCGGTCTCGCCATCCACACGTCGTTCCACACGTGGTAGTTCCAGATGGAGTCCTCGCCCATGAGGTTGTTCGGGTCGTACTCGAGCTCCTCGTTGTTTAGATCGTAGTAACGGTCCACCGATAGCGAAGCATTGGCGTCGTGGGCCGACACCAGATTGGACACCACTCTCGACGGGATTCCCAGGGCGCGACACACCGAGGTGACGACACCGGCGAAGACCCAGCATTGACCGTAGTTTACTTCATTGCCAGTCTCCAAGAACTGCTCGAGAATGGGCACGCTTCCGGTCCAGGCAGCCGGCGCGGTGCCGTCGCTGTACTCGCCGTCCCAGCGGCCGGTTATCACACCCTTATCGTCGTTAGAGTTCACCTAAAGCCAATGGAAAAGGAAATTATATTTGGTTCCAATGTAAAAGTAATATAAATGAAAAGAGAAGCAACCGTTTCGAGTTCGAAGACTAAATGTCGCGATATTATCCAGTTATTTTTCATTGGAATAAGTGATCTTGCGGTATCCAGTGAGAAATGATTCGTCGATCGACGTCGAAATGATGTCGAATCGACATCAATTCGACGGTGTTGATGTTGATTCGACGTCGTTTCGACGAATCATTTCTCACTGGGTACTCTCTGACTTAATTAATAATCGTAAAACTGAATGATTTCAATTAATGTTAGACTATTTCAAATGTAATAATCATAAAACTGAATAATTTCAATTGATGTTAGATTATTTGTAATTCAAACGTATAATAATTCAGATATCAATTCTGAAATAGGCTTGAGACAAAGGAAGAATATATTACGATTTTCGAGATTGCCCGAGCCATTTTGACCGGGTCGCCCCTGGAAATCGCCTTGATACCGGATCTCTCGAGTAACAACTGGCAAGCTGGTAACACACACGCGTCGAACTGCCCAAAGACCCATTCTCTGCCACGGGAACTACCCCACGGACCCACCCATATCTTCCCGACGTCGTTGAGGATGTACTCGTCGAGCAGTTGCTCGTCCTCCATATACACCAAATCCTCTGCGTTACATTTCATATTAATTATATTTTTGAAACATTTTATAATTGTTTCATTTCCAGAGCAATGAAGTAGCAACAAGTTCTTATTACATTTCTATGTACATGATGTTCCGCTAACTAGATCTTCCTCTAATGGAATATTATTTTTCAAAGATACCTTCAGAACCCGGTAAAAATTTTTCATATGAAAGCATGTATAAATATATAAAATTATACAGCACTGTGTAGAATTGAAATAAAATTATATAAAAATATATAATGTAAAAATATGTATTAGACATATTTGAAGTATATTTTTATATAATTCTATATATTTATTCATGTTCATGCATGAACAACTTTTTTACCTCATTTTCCAAAGGAATCTTTAGAACGAGCGGAATGATTGTAATTAAAGATGGAAACAATCGTTTAACAAAAGCACTTGCGAAGATATTCGTACGTGGCCAACGGGCCGCTTTTGAAATCAAAAGTCCACGAAATAAAATATTTATAGAAACAATTTCCCAAATTTTCCGCAAAGTAATTTACTTGTTAGTATCATTTTTCTGAATCCTTTAATATCTTTTATGTCGATAGAAATTGACGTCGATAAGAAGATTTTGATGTAATATCAGATCCCGTGTTATATCTTTAAATGTTCTGCAGTTGTTGATTGTGCTGACCGTACCTTTCATCCATGGATTGAAGAGTAGGTAGATATCTTGATCGTAGCTGTAAGTATTCGGAGCTTTTCTTCTGCCGAGGGTGTTGGTCTCCACGTTCAGTTGCCACACGCCGACGGGACTGTCGATCGGACTCCTGACCTCGACGGACAGGTCCATCCCGTGCATGCCGACCATGCGAACGCCCCAAGCCTCCAAATCGGTCAGATAAGTCTCCCTCCTGGTGACCGTGTTCACTCCCCTGGTGCCCCGTAGCACGTTGGGGTTCGGGCCGAAGCTAAAGAGCAGCCGGACGATGTCGGTCTCGTCCACGTACTCGCGGTTGAATCTCAGGGCCATGTGGAAGGCCTGTCCTCGTCGGAGGACGGGAATCGCCGGATCCTGGTGGACCATCTCGAAGTTGAAGGTGCGATGGGTCTCAGCATTCTCCTTCACGTACAAGTACACCGCTTCAACTATCAGCGGCTCTTCGAATGACATCTGATGAGATCGGATGAATTAGACAATGCATTCACTCATGAGTCGTGAAAGAGATTATATTAACTTATTAAATTACTATAACAGCAAAAACAATTGTTACACGACTTTAGGCTGGCTTAAAAGAGAAGGTTTAGAAACTTTTCTCTGGAAACTCTAATCCCTAGATTTTTAATCATCAGCAAAAGAGTTTGTAAAAGTACAGAACGAATATAGTCTAAGGGCTCTGATAATAGACAATAAAATAGAAAGAAAAAGGAAGGCAGTGAGACGTCCTGCGTCGGCTCTTACCGCCTCTTTTTTCTTTCTATTTTATTGTTTTTAAAAGTAAACTTTCAAATCTAAGAGTCTACTGAAAGAAGTTAAAAGGTTACTTAACAAATTTTAGGATAGTTTTGGATACTTAAAGTAAGCACAAATTTTCTCAAAAATCAATACCCACGTCAAAGATCTTAGTTTTATGCGGAAGTAAAGTGTGATTCGGTGCATCGATCGCGATTCTGCAACCTCATTCTCAGGTATTGCTACAGCGAAGCTGCAACCGGGATGTGTCCTCGTTGTCGGGTCGCATGAGTGTTCGGTATCCGTCATTGATTCACCCGGAGGCATTGCGTAAAAAGTTCGGGAAAAATTCCGAGCGCGTAATCCGCGTAATCGTGTCCCGTAAAGGGGCGATCTATCGGCGAAATGACCTCGATCGCTGATTCACCCGATCCGATCTCCGCGCGGGTGAAATGCGGGATTCCACCTGGTCTCACGCATTCCCGACCATCCGGTGAAGTACACGGAATAAATTACCGTGAAAACCGCGCGTGCATTATTAAATCGGTTGTAAAAATGAAACCGGTATTTCGGGACGGTTCCCCCGATTTAAATAATCCGCTGTTACGCAAGCCACAATGTTTCTTGTTTCGAAAGCGAGCTGTGCGTTTCGTGATATCGTAATCGAATAAAAAGTCTCAATTTTGTTATGACGAATGGGTATCGATTTGATAATTTATAGCAATGTCACCAACATTGCTATAAATAATTAAGCGAGATCCGTAAGCTAAGCAGCAAAATTTCAAAATGTGCATTATAAGATGCGAGTGATATTTGGGAAACGAGACAATGAAATCTCTGGTTCATTTGTTACATCTTTCAATAGAGAGTAAATAAATTTAAATAATTTCAGTAAATTAGTTTAACGCAGAATTAACTTGGAACATACAATAAATGTAGTTTGCTTTATACATTACTTATTTGTATAAAATATATAATGATTTAAGTAGGACCGGTTTTCTTATGTTAATTAATAAAGATAAAATAGAGAGTGGAACTTCAAAACTGACCTAAAAATTTAGATCAATTTTAAATAATTCGGTTGGATAACATCGTTTGTAAAAAGTAATTTCAACATAAAAGATAACGATTTGTAAGGTACACAAATAAATATATAAAGATCTAACTATAAGTACATATTTTATTAATCGCGAATACCTGTCATCTTTTAATGTTGCAACAACCATTTCTATGATATATATTTAATTAATTTTATATTTGAATAACCGTTTATCTTTTTTTGTTTCATGTGTCCAATCTCACTTTATTCCACTAAAGAAATAAAATTTGAACTTACCTTAGAAGCACTTGCGTTAAAAATCAACAGCGAAAGAAACTACGAGAGAGAACAAACATAAACGACAATCCATTTACAAGTTACACCGCATACGAACTGACGCTCGTAAACGCGTCCTACCTCTTATATGAGATACGGCTTCCTCCACGGTGTAACCGCAAATCCCCACTACAGCAATAATTGCGTGTGGCATTTAGATCTCTGAGTAAACGAGTCGATATGAAACCAAAATGCGCATTATGCGTGACTCTATGAAATGACAAATAGGTTGATTTTACCGCTTAAATATTTATTTAGAACGTAAAATCAAACGATTTTTCACGTACGACTTTTGAGAGAAAATGTTTCGACGATTTCCACCAAAATTACAGCGAGCGTCTTTCTAGTGCGAGAGAAGAATAGGTTTTTGTTTTTATAATGCGTCATACTTGTTTCATTTTACATAAACTAGGTATCGTAATTAAAAAAAGAAGATATGATGTATTTTTTACTGGGTTACTTAGTTAACAATAAGAAACTTTAGAATGTCGAGACTTTTCCATAATTTCTTAAAATAATTATAATTTTTTAATTGTATAAGAACAAATTAAAGTAAATTAATTTCAAATATAGGAAAAGTTCAGATTTTTTGATAAAAATTTAAATTTATATCAACGAAGAACTAAAATTCCTATTTGCATCATCCCGCTAAACAAAATTTATAGAAAATTTTGAAAAAATAGAATTATTATGTTACATTCTAACAATAAGACGTATAGAAAGTAAGTCGTCATTTAAAATACCAACAAATGCAGTTCCGTCGATCCTAATGCGCGAGAAAACTAATTCGATATTTGGCTGAAATGAAATCACTAATTAGACAGACGTATCTTATCGACTTATGAAGCAGCGGTAATTAACTCAATAAACCGCAGGCTCTCGTGGGTGGTGGACGTTGTGGTCAGCTTGCAGATTAACCGCCGACGATGGGAAATGCCTGCGTAGAAGGAAACGCCGCGCAACCCGGGGGTGAGGCGAATGTTTATCCGGCTTCATGTTTTCACAAATTTATTTGCATCCTGTGTATCGAGCTACACAAATTACGTAGTAAATTATTGGTCTGTAGTTGTTTTTGGATTCCCTCCCGCCACGCGACTCCTCGCGTGTGCGCAATAATTGCGAGATCCGATATCCGGCCGCGCAATTTTATCGTTAACAAATAATTCCTCCAATTGTGCACTTCGAGTATCGCGTCAAAAGGCCTCTCACCTAATATCCTTCGCAATTAAGCTCTCCAGAGAAATATGTTAACACTTTTCTTTCCATTTCTTTTACTTTATGTTTCAGAGTAAGATAAATCGGAAATTTTTATACAGAAGAGAAAGAGAAATTGAATTTAATATCTACTTTAATATCTCGTTAAAACGAATTTAATATTTAATATGCTAAATATTATGTTTTTGTAAACATTTTTGTAAAAACATAAAAGGACAATTATATGCATAAGAAAATGATGATAAAATTGTGATGAAATTTTGATGATATAAATTATATTACACACAGAAAACAATCTCTGTTTGAGCCGTCCATCATAGATAGCTACTTAAAAAATTTCTATTTCAGCGAATTGAGCGTATAACGAGACCTTTGAATCACGTTTGGCGATACGCGAAGCGTACTCCTTTAACACCAATCTTGCAACACATACACACTCGTATATATCCTTAAATAAACGGACCGTGTGTGTTGAGCACCCATCTAAAATGTCTAAAAACATTACGATAAGGCAAGTAGCAGTCATATGTAAACAAGAACGAGGAATAGATACTATCGACTACGTAATACAATTAACTAACGCAACATCCGCTTCGGGTAATTTCCGGGTCGGGGATTTCATCATCTTGTGTGCTTCGCATTTTTCTCTCAATCATCTCTCATACGGTCTTTAAGGGTTGCATTGTTCACGCGGGAAAAATGCCCTTCTTGTCGCCGATTCATACGATGCCGATCATTAATCTGCGATCATCCACAGAAAACTGACAAAGTTACCAATAGAGAATACTTAATAATTCTCTATAATAATATACATATATTCTTTACATAAAACAAGAGATCATAAAAATATGTTAAAAAACAGTTTTGTAAAATTGCATTATTATATCTCCAAGTCTGAGTCATATAATTTTACAGAATAAATTCTCTGTATAAACCTTTTTATATTTAATATTTTTTTAATCTGTTTTTTTTAATGAATACCAATACGACAAATAATTTTTTTAATTAGAAATTATCCGTATCGGGAAACAATTATTATACAATAGATGAATGTTTCGTCGAAAATTCGGCGAAATTTCCTGTGGTTGATGACAAATCGATGACCCGTAACCGTCGCTTCGTTGTTTGAAACGATTCTCGATATAATTCGGCATAACTTTCCTCTATGTAGCAAGTTTTTTAACATCAACTCCCTAATGTGGCGGAAAAGCTATACGAGCGCACGACAGTCGACAGGAACAAGCGTGTCTTCGTAGGATATTTCACTCAATTTTTACCAAATTTGGCACAGAACTTGGCTGTCGCATTTATTGGCTACGATCCTCGCAGAACGTCTCGATTGATAATTTCTCTCGCAACCGACCGTCAGTGATTTCCGACATGAGATTGCTCCAACAAATTCAATTTATTACCACATTAAAAAAAAGAAAAAGTAACAAGTATAATTAGAATCTTATTTTCTTTCTTCTTCTTATATTTCTTAGATGTCAAACATCCAAACCTTCTGTCTAGCGACTGTATCTCATATCTGTCTATTAAATTTGTTAAAACTTAAATAATCTTTAAATTAATGTTCACTTTGTGACTATTCTTCACTAAGTCTTAACATTATTTAACGTTCTGAAATATATTTTCATAGCATTATTTAATTATCTATATATTTGGAAGGCAGCAATCTCATTCCAGCAATACGTTCACAATAATTCAATGAAATTGGATCAAAAACAGCCAACCAAAATTTATTTTCTATAATCAAAAATTTAGCTTCGATTTACGAAAAGATAATTTAATTTCGCAAAATATACCGCCGTTGACTCGTTTTAATCCTCCTTCTTTCTGCATATAGTTCATCTACGGTTCGTCTCCAATTCTTGCTGAGACATCGGAAATCGGCCAATCGGCAAGCTACTTTGTTATTCGGATGACAAAACGAATATCAGAATTGATCTCCCCGCGTATGCGATATGGATCTGAGGATCGTGTTTAGAAATTCCAAGGGTTCATCGTGTGTGACAATGTACAACAGATCGGGCTTGCAAAAATCCCGAGGGTTTTGAAAGTTTTCCGAGCAAAGCGATTTACAAGGTCTGCTTCTCGTACGTGTGCTCGTGTTTTCTGGCGCATGTATCGGTATGCTTTCGCTTCTCAACGAATCGTCAGTAACGATACATGTTGGTTACGTCTCTATTTACGGTTAAACAATCTCGCGTATGTTCTCGCGTCGACGGAATATTCATCGCGCGTGAAGTCGAGTCGTACATTTCCGGACACGCGAAAGGAATACTGCCCCGTCCCACGTTTTCACGACGTTTTCGAGAGGAAATCGGAGAAGAATAAATAAATTTTCAGCTCTGATGACGTCGCGTTATCTCGCCTCGTTTTTCTGCGCGAGTAATGTATTCAACGTAGTCAATCGATAATAGAAATGTCCAATAAAAGGTTGAAACTTAAAATAATACCGTTTGTATATCCCACGAGTATAATTAATAATTAAACAATATAGAAAACAACGTTTAAAATTTTTTCCTCTCCCTCTTTTTCCTCCTCTCTTTACATTCTTATAAATATAGCTAATTAATATAACAGCAGTTCTCTTAGATCCCGTATTAAGCTCGAAGGGGAAACGATCGCGCTTATCAAATTGCTTCCTTCTTCTCCGAGCAAAAAAGAAACCACGAAAACGACCTCCTCACTGCGCTGCATATCATATCATATATTACGCAACTCCCGCATTTCCCTTTTTTCTCCCTAAAGATAATGTTATTCTCTCTATATTTTGCGGATTCCGCGCAGTAAAGAGGTAAGCGCGGTCGTGCCTCTGCGAGCGCGCATTCACGATCCTATTATCACAGTCAACCTCCAGCCTCTCGTCTCCCATATTACAACCGCAAATATAATAACGCCTCTTTCGTCTCTCTCAACATTCATCGTTCCGTCGGAAAGTGCAACGATTTCGGAATTTGCTCGAGTAAATGAAATATTTCGCGAGCACTTTAGCGCGCGAGCCGTACGTCTCGAAAGTGCGGCAGAATGCGAGCTTCGAAACATGCGACAAACTTAATTCATCTATGTCTCAAACTGCTTTTCTACCTAAAATTTAATCAACCCGATATATGCCGAGGAACTCCCGTAAACGTGAGTTTCTTATTAATATAATTTATTTAAAAACAAATTAGCTCAACTAACAACAGTTTTAAAATTTTCCCCAAAAACTTGTCCAAATCTCGAATAAATAATAAAATTATAAACCTATTTAATCATAGATATCGTTATGCTTTTCAGATCTTAATATATCTTAGACATTAGATGTGTACGTGTGTGTATATGTGCATATGATATGTGTGTGTGTGTATACTAAAATAAAAAAAAATAAATTCAGTCAAATATTTTGTATCAAATAAATTAAGCATAAATAAATTAAGTAAGAGACAAGAAATCGATGTCCCTGCATGTTTCAAGATTCTCGACATTTGTCTGATCTCGAAACGGAGTCACTTTCGACGCAGACGACTCGCGTGATCGAATCTAGAAGATATAACACCGTCGTTACTTCCAGAAACAATCGGGAGCGTGCGGTAGGAACAGTCACGCAAGAGAACGCGGATTCTTTCTTTCTCTCAGTTTCATCCTCTCTTTCTCTCGCATCTCCGGGCCCATCCAAGCTGCGCAATTTAACCCTTTCAGTACCGAACTAAATGTAGGGACGTTAGCACCTTCCTCTTGTTAATTCAACGCAATTTTACAGCCGGTGTTCATCAGTGTGTTCGCTTAACTTTAACTGTCATTAAGTAAATATTCCCTTACGCTCGTTGCGGGATACAAATATGCAAATACTAATATTTAGGCAAGAGTCTTCGTCCGTCTCAACTCTCATTTAAATTTGTCAAAAACCCCTTTTCTATTTGTAATGTATCATAGTTTAGTTTAACGCTACGGTCTGTCGAGACATCGAGATTTACTTGAACGATGTCCACGTTAAATGATGTCAGCAAGTAGCTACGAAGTTTCATTTTTCTTCAATTAGAAAAGTTTCTAAGAGACCGAAAGCTTTGCTAATTGAAGAATTGAAAAAATATACATGATTCTCCTCTGTTATTGCAGAGGAGAATCATGTATATTTTTTCAAGAATCCGGCCGTCAATCCTCACATTGTAGAGAGGTCGCGTTACGCCCTTTCCTTCAATGATATTCAACGCTTATATTTTCATTGCTTAACACAGAACGTCACGAATTGCCGCCAGCAAGTAGCATTTCGTATCGAAATTTTGTTTGAAATTTGACAGCGGAGAAACTTAAATACCTGTAGTCTCATCGAGATTCGTGAGACACCGAGAACGTGGCGAGGACAAGGGTCGATACATATCGTGGAGTTAAGATTTTTATATCATTATTAAATGCAGGTTCAAGGCAGGTACTGAAAGAGCTAATGGCGGATAAGGAAAGCGCGAACTCCTCTATTATATCTCGGTAGATACTTCAACGTCTCGGCGAAGTATCGTCGCTCGGCGCGTGTGCCGCGCGCTACATCGAGATAAGATTACCGAATTGTGATGCTATATAATATAGTGTCGATCTTTTTAATATATCATATAGTATATAGCAGCGGTGATAGAGTAGTGCCCGACTAGCTCGAAATACATAATTAACGAACAAGTAATCGCGAAATATGCGTTGTTAATCTATATCTGTATGTATAGATACTTTATATGTATACAACTGTATATATATATACTATATGTATATATACATATACCATTTTGTTCATTCTGTTTCTCTTGTCGTACCCCGGGGCTTAGGTACACGCGTGACTAGTTCAAAAAGAAAAGAAAAAGAGCGGATATCCCTTCGCCCGCTGCGCACTTATCTTCGCTTTTTCCCCCCTGTTTACAAGTGTGTGTTCGTATATGTGTGTCTGAGGTATCTTTTTACGCATATATGTATGTTTCTGTCAGAACAGCCTATAAGTCTCTGCAAGCGCTCGGTTCTAATTCGCGCGGGCGTCCAAGGTTCGCTTCAAAGTTCGCTAGAAAAGGGTACTCCATTCCCTCGCTCGGGGATGCCCGAGGTCTCTCGTTTCACGAGACGGCTGCCTCTCTAAACTCCCGCGGAAGTCTAGGTACTAGAACGACAGTAACTCCTAGTCGGAGGGACGATCGCGCGATTGACTGTCGCGTGGGATCGACCCTCGCGGTCGCCGACGACTATAGCGCGGCGACGACGAAGACAATGACGACGACGACGACGTCGTCGACGACGGCGACGACGACGACGACGACGACGACGACGACGATGGTACGACGTTGTCGTTCACGAGGCGATGCTACGTGCGCCGGCGGGACGACGGGGCCTCGTGTCGTTTTTTGGCTGAATTGAATCGAGTCCTATCGTCGAGGGCTAACTCGGCGCGTCTTCCGGTTCCACCACGCCGCCGGCCGGCCCCGTCTGGCTACCACCCTGGCTCATCGTCACAAACTGCTGCGATAGCGTCTGCAAACTCTGCCGTACCTACAAACATATGTTCATGTCAAGCGAGCGTATCACAGTTAGTTACTTGGGCCATTCCATCAGGCATCGTCATCAACCGCACCTGGTCCTCCTCGATTATCTCTGATTTTTCAAGTATCGCGATAAAATCCGAACACCTGGCACCGTTACGCAATCCAAGTTACTCATAAACTTATCTATCTTTGCTTTCAGAAGAAAATAAAATAATGTAAGAAATATAATATATACATGTGAGAGGAAACATAAAGCTGTTTCGTGCTCGTAGTATTTGAAGTAGTGAACAGAATGTATTTAAACCAATTTAATTAAATAAAGTCACTTAATTTAGGATAAAGAAAGTACTTTACTCATTGAGACCGAGTATCGTCATACAGTGTCATTTCCAGTTTGCAATTACTGTTTTACGTATTATTTAATTCAATTTAATAAAACTCTTGCTTAACTTACTTGAATAAAGTAATTAAATTTATAGACGTTAAGTTAAAAAAACATTTCTTTATTGAGACCAAACAGACTTCAACGTTCGTGATTATTACTCGAAATGCACTTCCGATGTGCGTCGACAGATGAAAATCGACCGTGACACCACAAAGGGGCAGCTTACCTTCACTATTTGATCCAGATTTGTGTTGAGATAGTGCAACAGCCGATCCTGCGTGAAGCGTTCCGGCGAGACGAGAGGGTGGTTTAAATAAGCTGTGTGCAGTCTGTCAATGCGCATCATCATTAGAGCCGCCGATACGTAAAGAACTGCCAAGAGGGCCACCAGTATCGCTATCACCATGCCGGGCTTCAGCCCGTTGGTGAACAGAGATCCCAGCCTGTCGGATTTGCTCGGCGTCAGCGCCTTCGTTAACACTGCTGTCTCCAGCCTTAAGGAAAGACGCGAAAGCAAGCGGAATAAGCGACAATTGCGAAAACAACTTCGGCGCGTCGTATTTCGCAAAGCTATAAACTTCGGAGAGAACGGAGAGACGCGATAAGATTATCTAGACTCTCTCATTGTTGCGATTTTGGGAAGAAAGCAAGCACGACTTGGCCTCACGTTTGCAAAACTTTCCAATCGCTTCGTCCAAGCCAACTTCGCGACGGTTAATGGAATTAACGCAACTTTTTTTTATTTTCTCTACACGGGGGAGAATCTTTTCTTAAAATTTACTCTGAAGATTGTGTAATCGTGGGGCAACATGGCATTTTGAACAACTTTAGTAAAATACATGGTAAAATTTCACAAAAGGACTCTCATAAAATTCTTCGAAATGCCCTGTTGTCCCACGATTATCGCGATTGCAGGATAAATTTTACGAGAAAATTCTCTCGGTGTAGACGTCGGACACGGAGCCGGCCGGAAGTCTCACCTGGCGGGTGGCAAAATCGGCCTGTTGAGCGTCACGGGGGCGCCGTCGGTCTCGCTGCAGACGGTCGGCGATCTGGTGGCCGCCGTGAGATCGGTACCGCTCTCGGACATGCTCGACTCGTCCTCCTCGGCGTTCACCTCGGAATCGTCGACCAGCAGCGTGTCCGGGACGAGGAGCTTGGTATCGTCGCTGTCGATCGCCGGCAACGCGTCCGCCGTCGTTCGCGGCTCCATGGCCGCGTCCCAAACCTGCTTCATCAGCTTGTAGGTGGAGTCGCGCGAGAGCAGCGAGCAGAAGACATGACGCTCCTCCTCGGTGGCCACCGCCACCGCGTTCGGGATGATGCGCGCCGTCTTCTCCTTGCTGATCTTCAGCACCGACACCGTCGGTATCAGCAGCTTCGTCACGTAGCCGAACACGTTGCTGTAGAAGGCGAAGTAGTTGGGCGTGATGTACAGGTGACCCTGCAGCAGGATGTCGCCCACCAGCGCGCAGCTGTAGTAATTCAGCACGCGCTCGTCCTCCGCCACCTGATAACGAAATTTCGACGACTACGCATTAGGTCGGCACTGTCCTTTCGCTGACGCGGCGGATTCCCCTCTACAAAGGGGTTGCTCATTCGAGCGAATCTCGCTAGTCTTTATAAAATACAGGTAGTAAAACGAGCGGCGAATCATGGATTTACACAGAAAACGCACAGCGAAATAATCGTCAAAATTGGCGCGCTTGATGAAGTTACACTGTTAAGTTCGTCGAGTCGTTTTCGGGCATTCCTAGGTCGCCATTGCCTCCTATAATTAACGTTATTAATTAAAACAATGGAGTTGAATAAGACAAGCAATTTGTTTTTTAATCTACACGTTTTGCGTTAAAATAAAGAAATTTCGACACGCGTGTGGTAGTTGAAGATAACTCCATTGGCTTAGTTAAATTAACGACACGTTGAGTAGGTGGTAGCGACCTAGGAATGGTTCAACGTGACTCGAATTGCATAAAATTTGCCAGTGCAGCCTTCGCCTTTTCGCAAAGTGCTTATGCATTCAAATCCCTTTCCAGTTACACGTTTTATTCACCACGCTCGGAACCTCGTTTCGAGTTACTTCTTACTTATCAATCGCCGAGCGTGAGACACTTTCGCTCTATAGACGGACTCTGTTTCAAGTTAACATACGACACCTTGTTTATCAACTATCCGTCAAACATCAAGAGTCTCTCTATTGCATCACACTTGCATTCATTAATGAATTCACTTACACGCCGCACTAAACGTACAGTGATGGGCGGAATTGCGACACGTTTTTTTAGTGAGTTTAGGAACGCGCGTTTAGATTCAGGGGGTCAATTCTGTATCTTACAATATAGTGAAAATTCTAAGGGGACAGTCAGAAAGAGACAAATCTACTCACTTTTAGCATTTTCACTATAGTATAAGATACAGAATTGACCCCCGGGTTTACGTTCCCGAAACATTTTCTCTGAGGAAAATTTTACTTGAGAAATAGATCGAAAACGCTCAAAATGGTTTCGGAATGGCCATCGAGTAAAATATCCCTCGGGGAAGAAGATCTTGGAAGGTAATCTAAATGCACTTTGCTAAACGCACTACAAAAAGAAGAGTGTCGCAACCATTCTGGCCATCATTGTACATTCAACAATAACGTCTTCCAAGACAAAGACGCGAAGCTGCAAATCCTGATATATTTTCATAATTTATGCGTTCCTTTTATCGAACACCTAGGTCTGTTGCCTCGTTCTGAAGTTCACCGACAGATGAGGGGAGGTATTTTTATGCGACACGCCGAGGCGTGCATTGACGTACGCGTTTATATCCTACGTCCGGAGAAGTTGAAGCGAACTGTCCGCCGGATGAAGACGAGCTAAGTATCGCAATGCGATAATGGATCCGGGTTAAACAAGTCGTGTTACTGCAGAGAAGAGAACACCCCTCATTTGCAATGTCTGCGGGGGCGTTCTCTTCCAGCTCTTCTCGTAAGCGGAATCGTGGACTCTAAGAAAATGAATTTAAGCGTATCTCTACCTGACTGAAGTGCCTATGGAACTTCTTCTGCCTCGCGCTGCTGGTAGACGTCGGCGACGACCTCGACGAGGATCTGCTAACCTTTGCCGGAGTTTGCGCGCCGCCAGCTGCCATCGATGGTGTACTCCTACTCAGTGGCTTCGAAAGGTGACTGAAAAAACCAAGAAAATAGCAACGTAAGAGAAGACCTTTATTCACAGAGATTAAATCTTACGCGGGAATGTGTATTTAATTTTTATGCACATGTCGAGGAAGAGTCGTCGTCCAGTTTAAATGATTAAAATTGAGAGGATTTGAAAAGATTAGACACTTTCTCCAACACAAAATAAATTGTTGAGATACAAATTGCACCAAGAATACCTCATTGGATAATATTATTGTAATTACTTAGCAATTACTTAGTTGTAAAAAATTATACAATTGGATGATTTATCATAAATTTTCTTATGTAACAATAATTATTTACTACAATTACATTTATTCATATTACAATGTAATTTTAGTATATAATATATTATTGTTACATCACAAATTTTTGTAATAAAGGCAATTTTAGTGGAAAATTAGTGTTACACAAAATTTTTTATGATTAATCCAATTACAATTTTAGTAATCGTATGTATAATCATCAGAAATAATAATTTTCGTAGAAATGCAACAATTATCGTCATTCAAATACATTTCTATGGCACACATTTTTATAAAATAAAATTATACCAATTTGTACGTGAAAGGACCCCGCATTATTTCCAGGTAAAATACCGATCGATTTTCTATCCTATGTCCTATGACAATCATATATCAATTTCGTTACATCTCTTTCTTTTTTTTACAAGTATGATTTCCAATGCAAATTTCAAAATATCGTCTAATACGAATTGTGCATCATTATCGGGTATATCGCTTCAACTGCTCGAAAAAATGACTTTTGAAAATTTTTTTGTGGTTGATTTGCCTAATGATACATCTAATTGTATACGGAATTTGATGAAAATCGGTCGGGACCTGTTTTACCTGAAAATAGTGCGGGGTCCTTTCTGCGATTCAAAAAGGTCAACTTTCAAACATTTCCCTGATGCTGTCGCATCTTGTTTCAAGTCGTTGCATTATCGTACTCCTTCAAAGATATATTATCAGGTAAGAAGAGACAACGCGCTGCGTTGGTATTTTATTATACATCCATATTATTATCACCGAATTTTATATGCGCGTAGCGAAAGATAATGAGAAATTATTTCCAGCGGCATTCCGGATGCAAGTCCGAAAAAGAATATCGAACGGTTGAAAAGCCGCTGATCCTCTAGGAAACTGGACACGAACGGCACGTTGCACGGGTTATCCTTTCATTTTATCATCGAAACATAGCCCGACCGACGACGCTTAACGCGTTGCGTAATACGTTTTTGTATACCGCCACCATGTCAATACGCAGAACGTTTAAAACGAGGCTAAAAGTCTTTCTTCAACGATAATTAATTGCGACGAACCTTGGAGATTTAAGACACCTCGTTTTGAGATTAATCTGCAATTAACTTTATCTTCAATTTAATGTGGCGTTTAAGAACCGTCGAGACATTTAACGCCAACTCGTGAATTATAAAATAAAACGCAGGAACAAGCTTCGATTGGAATTCCCACGAAGAAGAGATCACTCGACTAATTTTTATCATTTATGTTATATCTTATCCTCGCCTCTATTCAAACTTAAGGTAGTTGTTTCGCGACAGTAATGCTCACAAGTTTCTTCCAGACAGGAACCAGCACTCGATTATTACAATGATATATCTTGGTGCAATATTGTTCTAAAGAATACACTTACGATTAATACATAATATAAAATAGATTCGAAAGATTGTAGTTTGAGGTGCTGTTGCCACATCTCTTACGCTACACTCCTGTCTACTACATAATTCTTCCCATTTTTCAGTTTTAACTGTTTATATTGTTGAAACGAAACGGTCAATAATTTTGATTTTTTTTCCAGTTATTCGTTCTATTTTACTCTATAACAATTTGTTTCTCAATACGAATCTCACTCATCGTTAAGCTTTAAAAAAATAAAATGTGCCGCCATTTGCGTTTGCAAACGCAAATATTAATATTCTAAAACATAATAATATGTGTAAATAATATTTGACATGTAATAATATCACAACGAATTATATTGTTACATGTAATAATATTTTTAACGTGTTTTACATGTAATATTTCGTGTAACATAGTAAACTTTAACAATTTTTTTTAGAACTTTGAGACGGTCAATTTTAATTTAATTAGTCTTATTTTGCACGTATTTATGTAAAGAATAAACTGTAAAAATTTGAAACAATTCTCACATAACTGATTTTACCAAAGAACTACCTTAAAAAGTGAAGTTGTACTACGTTTTTGCCTTATCCCTGATTTGTTTGAAGTCGTGCGCTATGCTACGAGCAAATGAGTAAAGAAAAAAATAAACATTGCTAACTTGTTGGAGCTGCACCGTTCGGAGATCGGCCTGCTTCTTTTCCCCATAACGGAGATACTCCACAAATCGTTACCCCACATCTCCACCCGCGTTCCCATCGTCGACTGTTTTGTTGCGCCTCGTTTTTCGCGTTTCAAAAATTGAAACAATCTCATTCGTGCACTTTTATCAACACAGTCTACAGTTCGTAAAATCGATCACAGTTTCATGCTGAACAGTGACAAAATTCACATATCGTAAACAAATACGAAAGTTTTTATCTTTGGAAAGTTTCGACACGAGCGAGATAGATAAAATAGTTTAGATAAAATGACGCGAAACTTTGTACAATTCCTTCGTAAAAAGTGCTTTTATCGGACAAACGAAGATTATTTTCTGCTCAAGGTACTCTTTCTTCCAAGTGTTGAAGAAAATTCAAATAAATGTTGAGTACGAACATTGCAAGCTACTACATCAAAATCTACATTTCTCGCCAAGAGAAATAGACTTGAAATTTTCACGCTCTATTCACCCTCCGCTAATTTAATCAAAATAAAAATACTCGAAACTGATAAAATGATATTTAAAATGAAGTTAATAATTAACAAAACATTCTTACACCCTCAGAATACCTGCTTAAACTCATATACTATTCCTGAACTTGAAGTTCAAATCATGTCCAAGGAGAATCTAAATAATTGAACATTCTTCTCTTTATAACAATAAAAATTAGTTACGACCGATAAGATTCCCATCTCCCTTCGTCAAAGTACATTGTGGAAATTGGAAAAAAAACTCAATCCGAACTACCCGAGCGCGCCGACTCATCTCGCCGATCGCGTCGCGGATCGCCGCGATTTTCGCACGTGAAGACGACCGCCTGACGCGCGGCGTAACGCGTAACTGGTGCACGATCTGTGGCTTAACAATCCGCTGCCGGCGACGGAGATAACACGTGGGAGACTGTCTGGAGCGGCCGTTGTGCCATCCCCCTTGATTAAGAGGCTCGCCGGAACCGAATCGAAACAAAAAATCGCACGACGATAACTGGCGGATTCGATAGGCAGATTCGATGATAATGAGCGGCGAGATAATGATGACAGGTATGCGTTCGCGATAAGATTTGCGAAGGCGGCTCATCGAAAGCCGAGGCACGAGTTTCGCGATCGCGGAATCCCCGCGACGACGTTCGCGATCGAGGCGGGGCAGGAAACGAACGGAAAATTTCCGGCATTGCACATTTACATCCGCTCGATAAGCGTGATATCGCACCGTGGCGTATCGCACATTTTCTTTTTGTTACCCTACGATTTTTCCTTGGAATTATCTTTCGCGATACAATCCATACGTCATTGTATAAAAACTGATTTTAATCTCCATCGGGACAGCAGTCAGGGCTGGTCACTGATATTCCCATTTTTTATTGGAAAAAAGATTACTTCTAGAGGATAAATATGCACGAGGATTATACTTCATTTTTATAAGAGCATATAATTTTTTGATGGCGTTGAAGATAGGTGAATATTAATGAAGACTTGGCGTAAAAAAGGATTGTAAACATATTTATCGTATACAATGGGTTTGTTTTCTGTTCCTGCACTGGTGAACTAGTGCAGTAAGCTAGAATGAGAAAAAATATGCTTGTCTTACTCCAATTTATTGCACTAGTTCACTAGTGTAGGAACAGAAAACAAGCCTAATATCTGCTTCTTCGTCAGAATTATGATATCTCCGGGAAAAAAGTGGATGCGCAGATCTCTTTAATTAAAAAGTTGCGAGTTGAACCGGAAAACGCTCAAAGAAATTACGCAATTCGCATTTAAAGGAGATACGATGAAGATACAAGTATCGTGCTTGTGCAAAAAAATGTTGTACGCATACGAGAGAGGGCAAAGGGAGAGTCTTTTTGTTCGAGGAGAGCTGCAAAAATACCGTCGACGATCGAACGACGAGATACTTACGTTTTGTATTGAGAATCACAAAAGGCAATTTCACCCGGATAATACGCGCGACGTCACGCTTTGTACCGTAATAACCGGCACGCATGAAGCGGCCATTGTAAGAATGGCCGCAAAACATTCTCGTACGATTGAACTGTTTCAAAACACAGTTCTATTCTCGATGTGATTTAACGCCACAAGTGCTGTCTAACTCCGCGGCAGTTAGCGTTAAGCATATGCGATGGGAATATCGACCTATATCGACGCCCTTGCTGGTCGCTCATTTTTTTCAACGTTCGAGAGACGCAAGTCCGGTTTTGCAGGTCTCATATTATCTACTGAAATCGATTGTACATTTTATGTTCCATAACAATCTCATTAAAAAAACAAACAAAGTGCGTTACTTGAACACTCGAAATAACGCGTGATTCAAAACACACTTTAACCTGCGTTGTATTCTGAATACGATTTGCCCTACATAATCCAATTGATACTTCTCGTTTCCCAAACGATACTTCGTTGTGTAAGCTGCCTCGCGTATCACTGTTTAATAAGTTACTCTAATAGAACGATTTACCCGAGCGCATTCGAGATTGGAAACAAGTACCGATCAATTGCATGCATTTCTAAAATTACTTCCTTTATGAATCTCCCCGATTAAGCCACGCCGACAAAAGGGTGGCTGACTTGGCCAACATTATCACGGCCAGTGTGCCGTAACAATATTTGAACATCATAAATAAATAAAATTAATAGCGGCACTCGATAATCATGATGTGCCTGCTATCGCGTAGAAACGTATTTCCCAGCACACAGACAGACAAATTATTAATTATACCGTCTTATCACGAAAGCGTATAACGTCTTACTCTTTATCATAATCCCCCTTCTTTCCCTCCTCTGCAATGTCTGTGCAGGTGTGACATTATCACACCTGGCTCGCTGGCAATTTCCAAGAACCGATAACGCGCGCGCGCGATTTCACGTGCGAATCATCTGACTTGCAGAAGCAAAGTTGAAAATAATAACGATATTAATAACGCTAATAAAATCCTCATGCAGATATATGCAAAGTTCATCGTTCATTGCTTTCACGTATCACGAGCAGAATATTGCCGGGGAGCGTCAGTGATAAAAGAGGAGCGATTTCCTGCACGCCGCGTAATTACAAGTAAGGCCTGTCGCACACAAAATTGCATAGCTGCATATGCATAGCATAAGACCGCCTAGACCAATGAGAATGTTATGTAAATCAATATGGCGATTCACTGCACTCGACGCTCGTTGATTCGGACGGTTCTTATGTTACGCACATGCGGCTATGCGATTTTGTGCGCGATGGCTCTAAGCGGTCTCTCTTTCGGGAAGATCAAGTGTGATATTAATATTTGTAAATTAATGAAAGACAGAGTTGGGAAAGCTACTTTATAAAAGTATCTAGTTACAGTTTTTTTTCGCCAAAAATTGTAACTAGTTGCAGTTACCAATTCTGAAAAGTAACGCGTTATAGTTATAGTTACTCAAAAAGTAACGAATTGTTACTTTGCAGTTGCTTTCTCGCAATAAAAATATCTAATCTGCATTTAAATTGGTTAAGTGACGAAAGGCGTTTATGCGCTTGTGCAAGGCTTAATGCGATCTGTGGAGGTTTACAAAAATATATAAAGTAACTATTAATGTAACTCTTAAATTAGTTACTAGTTATCGAAAAAATGTAACCGAGTTAAGAGGATGCTAAAGTCATCTGTTTTACCGACACATTCGAATATAGTTTTTGCGCTGCTGAATCTTTTTATTAGTTTTTACGCCTAAAATAATACCAGGATAAGTTGCGGACCGCATAGCAGAACGTTTTTATACTTGAAACACTCGGGTCAGAAGTCTAATGAGAAAGATATTGGTATTTGAAATTTTCAATTTTTTAATCGTGAGCAATTTGAATTTGGCTTTATAAAATTACAAAATTCTTGCACGCGATTACAGTACGCGTAAAAGCAAAGCGGGGGGTTCACGACTTTATATAAAAAACGAAGAGAAATTAAAAATATCGCTTTATAAGTAATTGTGGTTAGGCTTCACATGCTGATATTTTTAATTTCTCTTCGTTTTTTATATATTGATTAAACATTGATTAAACATTGAAGTCTGTATATCACGTTGCATAATTTATATGTCGTACCTGCAATCTTCTCATGGAAATAAATATCCATTTCGACTAAGCCTCCCCCCTATTCTTTTAGTTACCGACTCGTTTGCAGGAGACTACGATATATTAACATTACGTGCACCAATCTTAAGACAATACAGGAAACGCGGCTGTCAGGTGCGCGATCATAAATTTGTGTTACGGCAAGCGGCGCCGCCAGCGAGCTTTATGACAGAGCCCTCACCTGTCGTTACATCTCAAGGCCGCGTGACTGGGGCTCCTCGGAGGCTGAGGATAGCTGGCACCAGCCACAGTAAGTTGGGACCCGCTGATCGATTGTTGGCCCCCGGCCTGCGGTGCATCGGGGGCAGCTTGCAGGGGCGTGCTGGGTGCCGAGCGCGCGCCTATGGACCCCGCAGACCTGCGAACAAGACGGAAGATATAGGATTTGAGAAAAAGTCAAGTGAAGAGGCACTTGCGATCTGCCCGTTTTACATCTGCCACGCTCGCTTTTTACCCCGGTCGCTCAGCAGCTTCTCGGAAAGGGCATTGTGTCACTCGCGCTCGTGAAAGGTATTGTATAATAATTGCGAAATTATTGTGTAACTTTTTCCGGAGAGTTAATTGTATAATTTTCTCTTTTCAAACAAATGTTTCTCGCGTGTCAATCAGAGTGGAAGGATCGTGGAGGCAGTTTTGTAAAATAATAAGTGCGACCGATGTGTTTTATCAAAAACGATTCACGCGACGTACGTCCATTTCTATCGATGCAGATTAACTTTGATCTCGGTTTAACCTTCCTTTTACAGTTCTCAGGCCCGATTTCACCAAACGTCGCTTAACTTTAATCTTGGTTTAATTCATGTTTGCGTCTCTCTCTAAAGTAACCGAGGGGGAAACCGCTGACCAAAATCTTGTGCACCAATGCCCACTAATGCCCAGTGGGCATTACTTTATCCTATTTTACCTTTATAATGCCCCAGCAAGGCCTAATGCCCAAACTAATGTCCAAAACATGCCCAGTAATGCGGCAAATCTGTACACCACAATGCCGTCAGCGGTTTTTCCCTCGAAAGTAACAGTCGGAAAGGGACAAGGAACGAATTAAACTAAGCTTAAGGTTAAGCGACGTTGGTGAAGCAGGCCTAAGAGTTGAAAAAAGGTGGAGAGTGACTTAAACTGAGATTAAAGTTACATTTTATTGGTCGATGTAGACATTAACGTTATTTCTGGCGAAGGAATACAGTAATTAATGCAGAGCCCGAAAATCGATTAAAAATATAAAATGGCTGAAATTGTAAGACAGATATGTATCGGCAGCTCGCCAGAGCAGAATTAATAAAACAATTCAAGGAACGATTTGATCAAAAGGTATATGTGTCAGCTGATAAGATATTTATCATGTACCACTTTTGTTATGTCTGAATGCTACAACGATACGGTGATATACAGCGTCGACTACGACACTCGCTATATGCTTAAGTGGCCTCTTCTACGGTATATTCGTCCGCGCAATCAGTTTCGGATAATCTGTTCTTAAACTCAAAATTCAAGAATCTCCGTATCATCTCGATCTTCAACTTGGTTGAGATACACGCGACATTATCTATCTGCCTCGAGAGTTTATCACTTTTGCGGACACAAATCACGTACCTTGCCCTGGTGAGTGGGCGAGACGAGAGGCAAAGGTTGATCAGCGCCCGGGTTTCGAACTCCATCATCGTGAAAACGCCGACGTTACGAAATCTTATTGTTATATCATCCCCGGGACAATGTCAGCGGGATTTCCTTGTCCGACACAGAGAGCTATAGCGTCCTGCGTCAGGGCTAGGCTTCAACGCCGGTTACCAGTCGATCGGCAATCGACGTGAGCTCCGCGATCGATCTGCGTGATTATCAGACCAGACGTCGGCAGATGTCGAGGTGATGGTGCTCGGTAAAACTCATTTGTTATCGAAAACCGCACAACGACATGACTCATCAATGCACATGTAGTTACATGGTGTTTCCTTCGAATGGCAGCCCGTGCGCTGCCATCGCGCGGGGCCTGGCTTGCTTCATGTGATAATGGGTCAACTTTATCTGCTCTTATCTGGCTTATCGCTCGAGTTGGCTAATGACGAAACGCGCCGGCGGAAATAGCGAAAGAGTAGTGGGCAGCGATTAGTACACGAAAACAGAGGGGAAACAGTAGCGACTAATATTACCGCGAGTCGAGTTTAGACGAGTTGGTAGCCCGCCAGCTTCGGCGGGCCTGAGGGGCGCGAAGGGGATGAAGACCGGCAACGAGATCAGGCGCGAGAGAATCGAAGAGAAAAGGAAAAAGGGACGCCGCCGGGATGGGATGAAGCCAAACGGGGCGAAAAGACGTGGCGCGGTGTGACTAACGAACCAGTTTCGGTCCTCTCTTCGTGCGCCGCGAGAATAACCACACCTCGCCACACGGGTTCAACGAGCCCGGTTGCCTTTAACGAGCCGGCGTGGCGGCTCGCCGTGGCCGCGGCGGTGCACAATGAAGCGAGCGCGGAAAAAGAGGGGCCCCCGGCCCTCGCCGCGAAACGGTATGACCGCGAGGGCAACACCGTTCAGTAGAAACCGCGCTGGTATCGGTACTTCCTGAAGATCCCTCTCTTCGATTGCCGCCACTTAGCGCCCATCGATCGCACGGCCAGCCTCGCGAGGAAGATGATACTCATCTCGAAGGCACAATTTCGCGGCGAGAGGGAGAGAATGAGAGCGACGAGTATCCGCCTCGCGAGAGCGATCGTACCGATCCAGCGGTCCGATCCTCTCGCAGTGAAGAAGGGTCTGGGGGGTCGGTGAAGATGGACGGAAAAAGTGCGAAGCAACACGAGGAACGACGACGAGGGTTGACGAGGAACCACGCGAGTCCGGTACTCCACGGGCCAGCCGGGATGTCAGACTGATCGCGGTTGGACGCGCTCGTATGATTCTTACCCACCTCGGGCCGACCTCACGACCTTCTGCATAATTGACAAATACGCGATGTACACCTGCCTACGTAATGGGGGGGATCTATAGTTCGCGCTCTAGAGCCGCTTGTACTTGAGTTATACGAGGTGCACCGCGCGGATCGAATATCGCGTATACGTTAATGAGTGCGCGAGAACGGAAATTGACGCCAAGATCGAAATTCAACGATGACGAGTCGCTCACGATTGTTACTAATGGGTGTAGCGTTGCGATTGCAAAGCAATTAAGACCACAGTGCCACTGGAAAATTCGTTTGCGCATAAATATCACTATACAGGGTGTCCCAGGAGGAATAATATATAATAAAATGATAGTATCGGTCATTTTAAGCAAAAATGTCCATATAGGAATGTACGTCCCATTCCCCACTGTTAAACTGACCGATACTATCACCTCCCAGAGTATTGACCTTTCTTCCTGAAACGTCCTGTATATCGGTAATAGTGCACTGAAAAAAAAATCTGATTGATTCAACCAGTCGTCTGTTAGAAAATAGACGAATCAGAATTCCTTTAGGATTTACCAGATTTGTAGTGAAGTTCTGGTTATGAAATATCTTTCATGGTAAATCCTAAAGGAATTCTGGTAAATCCCAAAGGAATTCTGATTCGTCCATTTTCTAACAGACGACTGGTTGAATCTATCAGATTTTTTTTCAGCGTGCGTACAAGATGTTGGAAGAAATCAATTTGTACGATATTGAGAGGGGCATTCTGCAACGCCCGTTGCATTTATATCGAAGTTAATGAAACGGAATAATTATTTGAAAAAAAGTCAAAGCTCTGTTAGAAAATGGACGAATCAGAATTTCTTTAGGATTTACTTAGGATTTACCAGATTTGTAGTGAAGTCTAGCCCGTTGCATTTATATCGAAGTTAATGAAACGGAATAATTATTTGAACAAAAAAGTCAAAGTTGACTTGCAGCACTGTGTTTGTAAATTACGCACAATATTTAGTTATGCATACGCGACCGTGTAATATACACAGCGAAATAATCTGAATGTGTCACGCTTCCCACGTATAATGAGGAAAAATTATTATCATTACGATTACGTAAAGCGATAAAAAGGTACGTGAAACTTCACACCAGTTTGTGTCACTTCGGATGTTTGAATAAACATCATTCCGGCAAATTGATGCATGCGGAAACACATGCTCGAGTTTCCCGGGCAACGTGACACTTCGCTGAACCGAGAGGAAGCGCAAAATATTTCGCCGTTAAGCGCCGATGCCACCGGACTGGAAAAGAATGTATGCGCTCTCGTCGCCGGCTCGCATTCTCTGGCGATCTCCCAAAAGGTCGAAACGCTCTTCCTCTCGTGTCGCACATCAACGAAGCAGCGAGAGAAACGAGAATCGTGTTAACGGTGTTAACGCGCTTCTCTCCCCACGGTCTAAAATCGAACGCCAGCAGTAACGAAGCCGATGAAGCTCATTATTCTTGTTAAACCGCATTGATAACGATCACTTGAACACAGTGAGGTAAACGTGCATGTCGAAAAATACGTGCAGGTATTAAACACGTTTTTATACACTATTTAATTTTCGCGCGTTTACTTTCACTTTTTAATTAAGTATTGAATAATTGGTATTAAAGTTACAGATAATTTTATGCCACGGCAACGACTCAGCTGTACATACAGCGGCTCGCCTAGACTCCGATCGAAAGCGAGTACGTCCACGAAATTAATCGACTGATTAGTTTCTCGAGTCGCGAGATGTGCGACTGATCGCCGGCTACTTTGGCGTAATGGCACAAAGTACACGTGCGCGACGCCGACGACATGCTGGTCTCCGGAAAGTGCGGTATTGCAACTATTATTATCTTATGCCGTGTAGTCACGGACATAACAGAGAATTTGATTAGAGTCTCACACACACACATACACACACTTTCTCCCTCTCTATTCTTGCGAGCGCGATATCAATAAAGCGATGCTCACCAGCGCGTGGTGTCGTGGCGTCCTGCATTATTGAGATGCGCCAGGTGTTCGCCGATTGCGCGAACTCCTTTCTCGAAGGCCGTAAAACGACGTCACGCGACATGACACTCGTACAAAGTTTTTTGTTGTAGACCCGGAAGAAGTGTCTGGAAGTTACGTCCTGTGCCAGGACACTGCGTAACGTGATGCGACAAATGGAAATGTTTCTCGAAAATCGATTCACGGGCGATTCAATCCAACGCGGGCGCAACAACACCACGAGGACGATATCCATTAAACGTTATTAGAAACGAAATAAATATCTAAATTGAGGGAGCTCTTCGGAACCGCATGATTATACCGTACCCTCCATAAGTTCGGAAACACTTTATAAAAGTGTGTAATATGAAAGATATAATACATACTAAAATCGATGTACTTTGCTTTGTAAGTGTTTATCCAACTAAAGAAAACTAAAACGAAGACACGTACGTGCATACGACAAGCCTTTAATAAAGATTTAAATTAAATTTTAGACGCCTCGAAGTGAACGCCCGTTGCTTTAGTAACTGCCTTGTTTAACTTTTGCAGAGATTCAGTCGGGATACGTTTCCATCCTTGCTGGAGAATCTCTCAGAGATGCACTTCACTCGTAATTCGCTCTTTGCGAATCCTCCTGTCTAATTCGTTATTTAAACGTATCGTAATTTCATTGTTATTTATCGTAAGTATATCGTTATTTAACAACTTACGATATATTTATACCAAACATGTGCACAGGTCGCTGTTATTTGTCTGTAAAATACAGGGTCCAAACTTATAGAGGGTACTATATATCGATCCATAACTTTTACTTTAACAAATAATAGAAATACAACTCGAACCACGCGTTCATATGATGGACGTACATGTGGAATGAATAATTTAATAATAATCGCATAAGCAATTGTTGCCAGCAGATATTTAGGATTTAGTCGTTAGATAATATTAAAGATCGAACAAACATCGATAAACGTTTTCCCGGATTCGCGTAATCTTTCGGACAATCTTCGATGTGCCAGACAAACGATCGTGACGGGTTAATGAGACAGAGAAAGACACTTTATATCGACATCACGCGAGTTGTCGAGAACACAGTAAATACGTAGATGCATGCATTTTCTTGACGAATGCGTATTTGCATATTTATCGTTTCAACGCCACATCGAGCTGCCGACCGATTTCTCAGAGGTACGAGCTTAAACGCCTATCGCACGAGAAAATTATACACGCGGCTAAACGCGTTTTTCTAACGGATGCGGCACCAAGTTAATCGCGATTGCTAGAAAATATGCGAGACGATATTAAAATTATCAATTTTAATTTATCAATGCTAAATTACGTGCGTTAAAATTAGTGAATTTTGTTACGAAAAATTCACAAGATTTCTCGTAGTCTCTCATCGTATACAAATTAAAACATACACACGACAGATCGAGCCTTCTAAAAATTTGCCAAAATTCCCCATGAGTAAGTAAACCTTGATTTGACAAAGTGAATACGCAACGAGATTTTCTGACATTTATGAGTCTCGTGTGGCATTTGACGAAAGCTCGAGTTGCACGTGTATTAGAGAATTTATACCCCGCAGTTATCAGATTTCGAATATCGGCGTGCTATTTGCATCTCATTTGTATAACAGGCCTATTCGAAAGAAACGTTACCGATAATCGATTTATCTATTTTGCAAGCACATCGTAGTTAAAGAACATTATCGGCGACGACCGCGCGTTTAACCGCAGTGTTCGACCTGATTTTTTTTTATCTAACTCTCGAGAAACACAATTGCAATATCAATCAATATTAATATCCTTGAAATTTGTATGCTACGGTATCACTTTTCGTTATTTTTGCCTCCGTCGTTTATTATAATCCGGCTTTAAGAATTTAATCTGAAATTTTGCCTGGGAATGTTTAATTTAAGCTTCCTCTGTTTAAAGTTATTAGGATAACAAACTCCTTCGGGTAGCGTTTGCCCGAATAACTTTTTTCGTATGAGACGTGTCTGCAAAAAAAACTCGGTTTATATAACGAACACGATCGTGCGGTGCGAAGCGATTACTCATTGTCGCGAGTTCGCAAAAAAGCACGTGTGGCCTCTACCCTCGTCGCACGAGCCTTCACGTACGCATACACATGCGCGAGCATGCTCTTGGCTAAGAGGACTTTAGAAAATTATCTGGTCATCACCCGATGATCAAGCAATACCGTACGCGTCCCCATTTAGCCGGTTATATTTCATTTTAATAGGAAACACTTGTTCCAGGAAATTTGTTAAAAGATAACATCGACATTGTCCGATATCGAATTTTACATTCGGGTTTTAATAGCTTATTATGTGATAATAAAAATATTACGTAGAAACTAATAATTGAGAAAGCCAAGCCCTTTATGAAATTATTAATTTAATTAATAAATGTATTATGCTGGATTAACGCGTAACTCTATATGTGACATTTTTGCGTAGGTTTTAAAGTAGAATTATTATTGTATATTGAAATAAATTATAATCGTCGTTGGATACAAAATGTAAGTGCGTGAAATGTGCATAAAAACAAAATTTCGAATTCTCTCACCTTTCAATAATTCTCTACTTATAATGTGTAGAATTTATATTAATTCACATCCAATTACAAATGAAGTCAAGACTCGTGACAAAATTGTAATAAGAGAAATAATAAAGAGACAATTAAATTCCGTGTGTAAAATTGAAGAGATAACTTCTCATGTTCTTGTCCATTTCATTTTTGATCGTCCAATTTTACTTAAAAGTTAAATATAAATCCAATCTTAAACCTTTTCCAAAAGTAGGAGGAATAAAATTACCTAAAAATATCTAACAATGTTTTATTTATGTTATGCATTTATACATGGCTCAACTGTATACGACCCAACGAATAAACGAGATTTCATCGTCGCCGCGTCCACATTCAGACATTATGGAAGCAACAGATCGGACGATTATGGGAGCATTCGTAATATTATCTTTCCCCGGAAGAAAGAAAAAAAAATTACGTCGAAAAAACGTTCCCGATGTGTCACGAGGTATTCTCTCGGTTCACTAAATTTGCATCAGCAAGTCAAAATATTCTCGCTATGGAATTCCCTTGACCCGTGATCCACGACTCGATAGATTCGCGCGAGAAACGTTGTGTGCCGTGCACAAAGCAAGGGAAACATTTCCATAAATGAATTTGAAAACTTGTTCAGCAAATGTTTTCAAATGAAAGCAGCTACTGTCAAACATTGGAAAATTAAATATGAATTAAAGCTACGTCGTTGCTCCGTTATTTTTTTGTTTCCTTCAAAATATCTCAAACTTCCTATTCTGGAAAAACTAAAAACATAAACTCTTACGTCTATTTTGATGTACTTTCACGTATGTTGAACTTGATGTATGTTCCTAATGTATTTTAGATCTTGGCACAACTTTAGACTTTATGACGTCAATCGATGAATGCTCTAATAAATCTACTTGAACAATGAATAACAACGAGATTAAAAAACCTAATAATAGTTTCTTTTATTAAATATTTAATTAAACGTGATTCACACGGGAGAATAAACGCACATTTTATCAGCTATCCTGTTCAGTTGAAATCGAATTGCTCATGTAATCTTATAATCGTTAGAAAAAAGTAATGAGAAATATGTAAATTTGAACAATTAAGCGATATTTATCAGACTGCTGAAGGAAACATTAGAAACATTATCTCTTGTAATTATCGATTTATCGTAATGTCCTTTCATCGTGCATCTCGCGATGACAAAGAACATCGTTGCGTCCAACTTCAACCGTGTCCCACGTGAAACTTACGTTACAATTATCGCACACGCGAATATTCACTCGCTTCCTGCGCCAAGAAATTCATAAAATCCATTTCACGTGGCTGCCTGCGGTATCATTTCGATTTACGTAAATAATATCGCGTGTATAAATGCTAATGCAGGCTTAAGATGGGGAATTGCCACCGTAACGCATTTGCGCGGAACACAGGACTTTAGTGTTTACGGCACACGCAAAGTACGCGATAAACTAGATGTTACGAAAGCTCCCCCCTATTAATAGTACGTACATGTGTATCGATCGGAGGGAGGGGGGGGATACACCTTCAAGGAAGCTCGGCAAATCAGTCTGCGCAGAGTGATTACCTATTGATGACCCCTGCGTATTCGACCAGTCTCGAATCTGATCTCGCGGGCGTTTTTATCTGTGTAAAGGCCATTCTACAATTGCGTAAACGTAGTTGTAGGGTTGTAGAAGTAGAAGTAGTAGTATGTGTTGTACATCAAAGTAATATACAATAAAGTGAGATACGTCGTAATTAAAGTGAATGATTGGTTAGCTTTTACGTCCTACATCGTTGTAGTCGTGAAAGATCAAGTTCAGCCATCTTTTACAACAGGCTTTGCAATCGGAGATGCTAGTTTAAAACTGTGTTTTACAACACTGTACAACCGATAACAACCACGTTTACGCAATTGTAGAATGGCCTTAAGGCTAACATTACGTTTGTCGTACAATAAATTTTTTAAGCGTGTTGATTGGCTGCCGAATAGAAAATTTCTACGGTACTTGAGAATTTTACCATCTTGTCATACGACAAATAGTAATATAAGAAACGCCGAATGTGCGATCGCAGATGTACACGTACATTCGATGCGGTCGTACAAATGCGAGGCATTGCCTGATGGATGTGAAAAGAGTGTAATATAGAATCAACCGGCCTTCAAAAATAGATTAGAAAACCGATGCATCGCTATTGTGGACAAATAGCCCGATAACACGCGAATGATTCAATCCCTCGCGAAAAGAATTACCTTTGTAATTTCTTAAGCCGGAATTGAGACTGTGTATAATTTTGCGTAATTCAGGTTTCGATCTAGTTCCCCGTTGACTGTAACAGTTAGTCATAAAGGATAATCAATTTCTAGCGACATGATACACGGAATAATAGCGATAGTATTTACGACAAATTAATTAAAAAAATATTTCGTTACTTCGCAATTAGCAATCCAATATTTCTGGAGTATCGAAATATGCGTCTTTTACATTTTATAATATTAAAATCAATAGTTATAGAAATTATAATATAATATAAAATTTAACTTCTCTCTCTTTCTCTCTCTCTCTCTCTCCTCCCCCCCCCCCCCTACTCCCTCTTTTGCTTCGGTCTTGCAGTATCAATGAACCTGAACAAATCCAACGTATAAAAAGGTCGAACAACGAAAAAGCTAAAAGGTGCGACAAAAAGAACGTACTTACGGCCACACACAGATTATAATCTGCTATTCAATATTTGAAGTGGAATATACGCCGTAGCTCCGAATCTTCTCGTGGTACGTATTTCCAAAGCGTGTAATACCGAAGAAGAGCGTGTATGTAGCCACTTATATCGGGAGCTTCTCAAAGAAGAATAATGTTAGTTTTACCGGCCACTCCTACGCAAGTAAAGGATAAAAAACAGAGGTACATTAAAGGTCCCTCGTTGACCTGTCTCATCAATTTCCCGAACACAACTACGATTTCCGCCTCGGCAAAGCATTAACGTCCGTATATATTATACACGTATGTCAGAGTCATGTATAATGGACTAAATTTAGAAAACATTAACCGCGGAAAATTAGTAAAACGATAATAAACATACAATAAATAAATGTAGTCGACCTTACCCGGCGCGTGTTTAATAAATTCAAAAAGAAAATGTACAGCGACGTTTCGACCATGGGTTTTGGTCCTTTTCAAGCCATTTTCTTAATAAATAATCAACGTGTAATAAGAAGTCAATTAATAAAAGTCCGAAGGTAGTGAGTCATAATTATAAAATTTTTTCGGCAGACGTTAAAAGTATGTAGACTACAAAGGCCGGAGAATGACTCTCAGTCTTGAAAAGGACCAAAACCCATGGTCAAAGCGTCGCTGTACATTTTTTGAATTTATTAAACACGTGCCAGTTAAGGTCGACCAAATTTATTTATTGTTATTTCTTACTGGCAATTAACCTAAAGAGATTTCGAGATAATAAACAAATCTCTGAGATAATAGAGAATAATAACTAATCGAAGTAAATATTTTTCTATTCAACAGAAAGATAATTTATTAATTAATTCATTGTGTGAAATTGAACAAACTACAGCTTTAAAAACTGTATACGGCGGACATTAACGCGAGTATTGTTATATATTATCAGACGATTTTTGCTATTTTACCTACCACAAAATATTGGTAATTGATAAACAGAGAACTCTGATTCACACAGTGATACAAATAAATATATAGCGTCTGCAGTTACACGTGTAAAGCGTGTCTGTACTCGACCTCCATAAACCGTTCGATACTCCAACTTGAAATTTTAAACAATAAGTGTCCTTACACGTGCTCATCCTCTCGACGTCTTCACTTTTTTCATTACCTTGCACTATTCGTTTCTTCGCCTTCTGTCCCAATTAGCTCTCGCTTAACCACCTCTTAATGCATCTTGTCAAAGATACATTTAAGATACATTTAGGATACAATCGATATTGGTCGACTCGTATTATGAAAGCGAGTCCCCGTTTTAAGTTTCAATTTTCTGCACTTTTAACAATATAAATAATAATTAATGAGTAACAAAGGCAAGTAAGCTTTGTTAAATAACTATTTATCTCAATACTAATTTCACTAAATTAAATAAATTATAATGACCAAATTATCAATATAATAATGAAAAATACCCAAATTATAAACCTCTAGAAAATTAAATCTTATTTAATGAATGATAATTATTGCATTATATTTTAATATACAAGTAATCTCAAGAAAAGTAATCTCATATTGTTTCATTAAAATGTTTTTCAAAAAAACGTAATAATGAAGATGAAATATGATATTTTTAATTAACGACATAATAGTTTAAATTATTTTTATCCATTTTGCAGAACCTTGTAGTGCTACTAGAATGACGATCGTCCTCGGACATGTGCGTAAAATCTTGGCAGAACTCTCGGCAGAACTTGTCAAACGAGGAAAAATAAACGAAAGGTAATCGAGAGATGAAGCTATCACGAAACCTCGTGACGTTCGACAGAGAAGTGCATTAAATAAAGAGGTCATGGCACAGTCAAGGTTGCCACGAGGCAGAAAGTTTTCGCGATGGATGATGGGAAAACGCATTAAACCCGTCTGTCGCAGATTAGATTGTCAGTTAGACTAACATTACGTTCGGCCAGGCGGCCTTGCAAAAAAGAAGTGTACGTCATACCAAGATTCTTAAGTATAATACATACGTAGCTAAGCGTCATTTGACTAAGTTATTTACAAATTTGAAAAATAAAGCGAAACCTCTTTTATAGCGTAAAATGTTTTCTTCCTTAGAAAAGTCACGTTAAAAAACTCTCTTCGGATTAAAAGACAATGTACGCGCATGATGCTAACAAGTACAGGACAATTAGCCGCGCTAAATTCTGCAAACGATTTGTCTCTGTGTGTTTTAATAAAGAGAGCTGATTACTGAAACTACATATGAAGTTATATAACGTTCTCACTTTCGCGCCGCCCACAATACGCGGAATTTCAACGTAGCCTCAAATATTTTTTGTCACATCTATCAGCGGACAATTACAGGAAACGCAAATGTCACTTGTAGTAGTAACAACAGTGCGTTATCAAGCTCGATCGAAATAACGTGCCACACGCAACAATTTATTTCCCGAATCGTGGTCTATTTTTCAAAGCTATTACTTTATCATCAAGTTGCTAAATTTTAAGTCGAATATTCATTTTAAGTTTTAAAATGAAAGTAACTCGGCTTTAATATAAATTATTTTTTTAATGATTTTAGAAATAGATAATACATACATAAGATGCGTATTCGTTCGTTACTCCGCGATACTATTTTCGGATCTCCATCTTCGTGCGATCTCTAAACTGTACGGACAAGTAATTTTATTTGAGTCATTAATTTACATCTCGCCCCACCATCATGCTAATTTTACCCGGATCTCCATAATTTTCGTAAGCCGTTATCCCCGGTTTAGGCAGAATGATATGTCGCGTGTCTTTCTTCGATAACAAATGTCATCTACTTTAGGGAAACAGATATTACTAAATGCGCAATGGCAATTAAATTTTCCGTACGATCAAAGGTTCCGAATTTACTATTGTGCCAATAAATTAAAAGCAACAATAAATAATGATCATGTATTATAGTCCTGTTTAGTACTTGGATATAAAATTAACGTTAATAAAAATAAACGGTTCTTTTTTGTCTTAAAGTCTTACATGCGAGAGTAATAATAAAACTAGTCGTAACATTATTATGCTGCACGCGTGTAATTCCAATTGTCTATCGAGCAGCGATGTGATAAAATGAAATGTAATTCAATTAATTTTGGATCTTTAATTAATCTTTTTTTCTCGAATCAACAGGAATATCATTTTACACAGGAAACATATGTGCGACGTGTGTCTTTTAAGGGTAAATTAAATTTGTCACGATCGAGAACGGGCAACTTTGTTTTCGTGAACGTGCGAATCAAGAAAACAAACAAGTTAAACTTTTATAAGATGATTAACATGCACGCTATTACTGTGAAGTTAAAAATAAAACATTCGGACCTGAAAGAGTCTAAAAAATGTCTTGTTCCAAGATTTGATATTCAACCGACGAAAAAAGATACTATTTTGGACTATTATTTTCTGCATTCCAATAAATTTCATATACAATATATAAATATAATTTTATGTTTCTTTATGTCTGCAAGAGACTAAAACAATATAAATGTCGATATATCATTGAAACTTAAGCACTCTGCATAAATTTTTTGAAATAATTTTAATTAAGCATAAATTTGTATAAAATACTTTTTCACGGTGCTACAACGGTTTGCACGTCAACAATGCAATTTGCGATTTTAATCAACGGGTTAAAGTAATCGTTTCAGTCGCAGTGAGTGATAAAACAATTATTAAATTATGTACGCGAATGTAGATCACCGACTCTGCTGGAAATACATTATTAGGTCAGACTGAATCTGGTTCCTCGATAACGCATCGTTGCAATATTGCGACGGATCGATTTGCGTCGCCATATTTAGTTTCGTCGCTGCGATTTCTCTGTTAACGCTAAAGCCACGAATGATACAAGCGTCAGAATTGAGTTGTTGCAGCTTGGTGGAGCGAAAGTTACCTTCGATAACGGTCTAAAGTTTACTTTTAATTACCTCTCAGTTAAGACAGCCACAAATTAACTTTCGCGGATGAAGT